CCTCGACTACGTGGGCGTGCTGGAGCAGGGCGTCGAGGCCGTGCGGGTGATGGGCGTGGGCCGCCGGCTGCCGGGCGACCGGGTGCCATATCTGGACCCGGTACTGCGCTGGCCGGTCCCGAGAAGCTGGTCGACCCGGGACGCCGCCACCGTCCCATTCGTGTACGCGCTCGTGTACCACGCGCTGCAGGTGCAGGCGGGCGCGCGCCGCGGCGAGTCCATCCTGGTGCACGAGGGAGCCTCCGCCGTTGGCCAAGCCGCCATCCGGGTGGCGTGCCAGCTCGGCTGCGCCCCGCTCTACACCACTGTGGCCAACAGTCGGGAGCGCGACGCGCTGCTCACCATGTTCCCCCAGCTGCAGCACGCCCAGGTGCTGAGCTGCGGCGACGGCGGCTCCTTCGAGCCCCGCCTGCGCCTGCTGACCCGCGACCGCGGGGTGCGCCTGGTCGTCAACACGCTTGCGGGCTCCGAGTTCCGCGCGTCCCTCCGCTGCATCGGACTTTTTGGCCGCTTCGTCAACTTCTCCCGCGAGAACTTTCAGGAAGGGAGCATAGGTGACCCAGGCATCACAGTCTACGTTGCCCTACCCTTTCCTTGCTCATCTCTCCCCGCTCACACGCTTCTCGTTTGCCATGTCCTCAGGTTTATGGGTGTTCACACGGACTATTGCCATGTTCAGCTGCTCAGGTAGCGCGCTGTTTCATGCTACCGAGGGCACCCGCCACTTGGTGGTGGAGGCCGTCGCCAAGGGGATACGCGACGGTGCGGTGCAGCCCATCGTGGGGGCCGAGGACTTCAACAGTCCCCGAAGGTTTGTACCGGGTGTAACTGTGAATACGCAGCAGCGTTGCGGGTTTGCCTACTCTTTATGTCCGTAAGGGGCCATGGCCCCTGCGGCCATATTGAGTATGCAATCCGGCAACACTGCTGCGTATTCACAGTTACACCCGGTACGTTCCGCTACCCGAGACACTACTTCAACCAGAGGCAATACGCGGAACGTATTTATCGTTTCTTTGTAGCATCGGCGACGTGATGCAGGGAACGAAAGCGGTGGCTAAGGTAGACAGCATGGCGCTAGAAACCGGCCGGGTGTGCGACCCCAACAAGAGCTACATCGTTGTCGGTGAGTGTCTCCGCATTATAACAGGAGAACTAGCAGGTACGATGGACGCAATTTGACGACGTCTTGCTCCCCTCAGGTTGCCAGGCCGCGGACGCTCTGTTACTGGCCAGCCGGCTGGCCGTGCTAGGCGCGCGCCACATCCTGGCCGTCGTGGGATCGTCGCCGAGCTCTCCGCTTGTGCGGCAGCGGCAGCGCGCTCTCCGGCGGCAGCTTGGCGCACTCCTGCGAGTGCTGCAAGTGCGCGAGTTGACTCCAGCTGCGGCAGGCAGCGTGGTGAAAGCTGCGGCCAGTTTGGCTCCGGTGCGCAGTGCCGTCGTGGTGGCCAAGGTGATTGTGCCGTCCACCTCCCACCTTATCCCACGCCACGTCCCGACAGTCTGTAAACTGATTTGGTGTTTGCAGAACGAGGACGAGCAGGTGGCGGCCGCACTGGTGAGCGGCGCCCTCCAGCCTTCCTCGGGTCTTGTGCTGCTCGCCGACCGAGAGTGTCTGGCAGTGTCCCTGGTTGGCCTGGCCGAGGAGCGTCGGGCGCTCGGACGGCGCACCAGCTGTCTGGCCGCCACCCTCGGCGAGGCCTCGGAGCGCCTCGGTGACCTACTCCACAACTCCTCCTTCGAGGTCCTGCCCTCGGCCATCGCCGACCAGGAAGCGGGCGCGCACAAGGACTTGTCCCTGTCGCTGACGGCGGACGCCCTGGCCGCGCTCAGCAGAGCCGACAGCCAGCGGTCGCGGCGGCCGCGGATCGTGGAGCTGACCTCGCTGGGCCCGGCGTCGCACTCCTCGCGGGAGAACCGTAACCTGTTTGTGCTGCCGCCGCTCAGCGTGCTGGACCCAACCTCCAGGGGCCAGCTGGCCGGGCTCGCGGCCAGGCTGTTCAGCCCCGTGCTAGTGGTGGAGACCACACCGGGAGACAGCGTCCAGGTGGCAGCCAAGGCCGTGGTGCGGGCGGTGGTAGACCGCCAGCCTCACGGGCCGTATAACCTGCTGGGCTGGCGCCTGAGCACGGTGCTGGCGCTCGAGGTGCAGCGCCAGCTCGAGGCGGCTGGCAAGCGCGGCGTGCTTTTCCTGGTGCACGGCGATGTCACCAGGGTGCAGCAGTGGGCCAAACAGCGCCTCGGGGGCGACGCTGCTGACGGCGTCCGGGACGGGTCCCTGAACGGCGAGGCGGTAGGAGCTGAGGGGGGAGCGCAGGTCCTCCACGAGCTCCTGAAGGCCGTCGCGGAGCACAAGTCGGACGTATACCAACCCTTCGCAGGCTACGTGAACATCGTGCGCATCTGCGAGGACGAGCTACAGTCGCTGGGCCGGAGCGTGAGTTTGGACGCATTCAGCTTGCTCTCTGCCGTTGTGCAAAGGTCTGAACAGGTTTCTCGTTGCAGGACAAGGACCCTCACGTCAAGGTGCGGACCCTCGTGGACCGCAGCCTGGGCAGCGAGGCGCTGGCCGCCTTTATCAACGAGAACGCTGCCTGGTCGCAGTTAGCTGGCGAGGCCGACCTGCACCTCGCCGTCAACCTAGCAAGCTCGCGGCACCGATAGTGAAATTCCTTAGCAATAAAAGCCTATTACTGAAAACCATCCTGAGCATTGTTTAATTTCGCCGTGACTAAAATCGCGAATCGATGAGTTGCAGACAGTCATGATCTGCGTGGTCCGCACCGGTCCGCACCGGTCCGCACTCTTGCGGGAGCCGTCGAGAATGGGCTTAATCGAATATAGCTCATCAGACAGACAGCAGGATCTAGGAGCTACCATAAGAATAATGTGAAAGAAAAATAAAATAGCGCCAACAGCCGCGCAAATAGTCTACTTCGGGGACCAAAACGTGCCAATAGACGGGCAATAGTCCTCTTCGGGAACTAAATACAGTACCGTGCCCCCGCCCGCCCCTACCCGCGCCCCAGGGTTTTTGTTCTTCTCTTTCCGGTCTAGCCGAGCCCCGCAGTACTTACAGCGAGATCATGTACGCGATGTAATTTCGTTGGTAAACCTTGAGTGACTAAGGCTAAGGTGAGTTTTGTATATTTCAATCCCGATCTTCATGGAAAAATTTCGTGGCCAGCGACAGTAGCACGGGTAAAATAGTAAAATGGTAAAGTATTTCTCACCGGGCCCCCGTTTTCTTCAGCCTGCGTGGATGGAGCTTCAAGCTGCTGTGTGCGTCGAGTCAACATCTCTGCAGTTTCTTCGAGGAAGTCTCGGCCCGGGAGAGCTGGGAGGCGTGCACGTCTACGTTTCAAAACAAACAGGTAACCTAACCTCCAAACAGAGGGCCCTAAAAGTGTTCCGCTGTAAGTGACCTACCTGTACCTCGGCCGTAGACAGCCCGTCGTTCTCACACCTCACCGCTAAACCGTCACCAAACAGCAAACAAAGAGCATAACTTTAAAATGTGACTGCTGTGAGTAATTAGAGAAAGGAGGGGCGAGGAGGGTCGTAACCTCGCACGCACGGCTTGAAGCCCGAACAGAGGCTGTGACTGCAGCTTCGGTATATCACCACTGGAAGCGCTGTTATCGCCATGCTCTGGTAACGCTAGCACCTAAATACGCACCAGTGCGCCTGGGGTGGCCTTGACCCCCTGCCCCATTGTTTATCTTGAAAGTTAGAAATTTGTAATTAATCGTGGATTTCCATCAATACAAATTATGAGAAATCGGGTTGGAAATCTTTCTTTATACCACAGCTTTCGTTTTCGCGGAGATAATGCAGTACCGCAGGGAATTCTCATCGCCTTTGGCCCCCCTCCCCCCACCCCACCCGAAAGCACAGCATGACTCTTACACGGCAGGCAGCCAGAATTGTGGCTTCAGAGTCGCCCTCGTTCAGCGCGGCAGCAGAGACTCGAAGGTCGGCGGTTCGAAACTCTGTCTTTAGTGAAATTTTTCCTCTGGCTTCAAAATTTCGAGTGGACTTCAAACCCGCGCCATTTCACCAGGCCTCCCTCGTGGAGTTCCTACGGCGTAGTGGTTATACCATCCTGGTTCCTGCTGCGTCGAAAGGTGGCGAGACTCGGCTCTAAAACTGGGGTTCGACTCTCAGCAAAAGCGGGCCATGGGAGTTCCCTGGCTGTGTTCCAACTTCCATGTAAAGCAGGTGTAAGCGGTTCCCTTTTCCTGGCAGCTGGCGGTGGTGGGGGGTGCGTTAATAAGAAATAGAAATCTGGCTGTAACGGAGTTCCATGACCTGTGGTGGGTCAGTGCAGTTTATCAAAGAGACGCGTCAACCGTCTCTGTACCCCCGGGAGTATGTTCTGACAACTCACTGTTAATTGTGCCAACGAACGTATGTCCAAAAAAATCGAGTCGATTGAATTTCGGTCTATTTTCAGAATATATAGTTTTCGTGTCAAAATACCTTTAAATAAAAAAGTTGATTTTTTTGGACATGCGTTTATTGACACGATTACCAGTGAACTGTGGTTGGCAGCGACTGCCCCCCCCCCTCCCCCTTCCGACCACAGGTCCCCAACGACGGCGGTGAGATGGGAAAAGTACTCCCGCATTTCTACTTTTTTAATTTTGTCTGGGTAGGGGGGAGAAGAGCGTGAGCATTTACGACGCCGAGTGGACATACCAGGTGACTGATTCACGCCGCGCACTTTCGTAGTTATACTGTACCGCACGCATGCGCGCGTGCGGGTTGCCTACTCGCACGGGGCCGTAAGGAGCCGTAGGCAGCGAGCATAGGCAAACCCGCCCGCACCCGTGCATGCGGTACAGTATAACTATGAAAGTGCGCGGCGTGAATCAGCCACCTGGTATTTCTATAGTCGGTTCCTGTGTGCCTGTGGCAACTGAGTGGCTACAAATAGGGATGGGAACTCGTGTAGAAATGATCACAATCCCGGCAAAATAAAGGTTAAGGCGTCCCTGTAGAGAATACTTTGTAGTTTTATTATCAATTGAATTATTTTACAAACTTAGCTAACAATTTAAATTGCCTCGTAGATTCATCTGAGGATTTGTACATACACGTTTTTCAAGAGTCTAGCTACACATTTATTTAAGACCTAAGGGAATATGTACATTGTTTTGAGACAGGCTGTGCATTCTCTCACTTAAGATACTGTACCACAACTCTCTTTATTTGTTCTCCACGCACGGACGCAGACACACACACATTCACACACATTCAAACATACATACATACAAACTGACATCTAGTGTTTGACATTGTCTGCCAACGCTTAACTCAGCTTGATCCCCAAACTTTCCACCGTCGTCACCGGTGTCGGTGAAAGGTTAACACCGGCGCCGACAGTTCTGAGGTGCAGCAGCGGGCATGCTGGTAGTGTAGTTAAGGTCGATCTAGAAGAGAATAGGACACTTGTTAAAACGGATAGTGGAGTTAACCGTACAAGGGCATGGGTAAAGAGCAAACTATGGTGTAGTAACAATTTATCTGGTGGACCAAGAACAACATGATGTTTTGACGGGATGATAGGCACATATATTGACACCACAGTATTGACGAAAGGACGTACCCGATGGAGTCAGACGCACAGGGGTGCGGCTGAAAGGGACTTAGCATATGCATTATGCCAGTTAAACGACAAGTGCAAAACCATGGACCAAAATGTTCTTTCGTTCGACTGTGTAATATATGCAAAGGGACATCACAAGGCACAGAAGGGCATACGAGAGACGATCACAAACGGGTAGAAACGGGTAATGGAAAGCTTTAGCAGTCGGAAAGAATGAGGCAAAGACTTGAGCTGGTGTGGCTGGTAGGGGACGTCCTCTCTGCAGAGCGGGCCGGTCGGGGAGGAAGGGAGGGAGGCCCAGAGAGAAACACAATCAAAACGACATCGAGAAGGTGTAAGAAACGACGAAATCGTTTTAAAAGTTATTTTCTCTCTGGGCGGGAGGGGGATGGCTAGACACTGACCAGGACGACACAAACACGACACGGCATACACAGCAATCACACTGGAGGCGCTGACTGCTTCACCTTTCGACCGGAGTTGCCCATGACTAGGCCAATGGCGAAAGCGTCGATGCGGGAGTCGATGATGAAACCGGCCTGGGCGAACGCTAGAAACAAAATAGAAAGGAAATTAGTAAAGGGAATATGCGTTCGTACATTTGCAACGCTTGGAAACGTTGTAAAGAACCCAATTTTTCATATCTTTTGAAGATATGTATTTTCATATATTTTTTTTACGAAACTTTTTTACTTGCCAGGCGCGGATCTACACTATAAATATTATGTTCATACCAAATAACAACGTGCTCGTGTAAAGTAAAACATCACTCAAATTTTCCAGTTTTAAGAGCAAATTTGCATCCGGTCTAGATGTTTTTAGGAGCAAAATTGTGCCTTTGCATTTGGAGTGTAGTCCGGTCGCTAAGAGAGAGCGAAGCCATGCCTTTCTCCAACCTCCACGCTGAAAGTGGCGATTTTGCCTACTTTCCAGGCTGAAACGAGTTCCCTTTTGTTGCAGACTATTAAGTGATAATTTTAGGCCATAATGCTTTGGGTCAGGGTGCGGTGACATCAAGACGCCGGTCTAGTGCTGCATACACTTGCAGGCCCTAACGGACTTGGTCACGCCTTGTGCCGCGCGGGACGCTGCCGCGAATCGCGCGATGATCAGGTTGTTTTGACGCTAGAGAGGCCCACCGCTGGTGCCACATACATATCTCCTCTGGGGATGCGCAATAGGAGGAAGCCGGCTGTATATCGTATGTATAAGAGGTTATCGTTTTTGGACACGCGCGCGGGCTCTCGCTCCCTCCCTCTGCCTCCCCCCCCCTCTCCCCAATTCCCGGATCAGGCTTGACAGTCTAGCGTCACTTTTACTCCTAGACAAAAGACCCCCCCCCAAAAAAAAAAAAAAAACAACAACAAAAAATAACAACAACATCCACTGGCTCTCGCTTGTCTGACAGTTTTAGCTCCTGACACATTAAACTATACTAGTTTAGCTAATACTGTCAGTTTATCATGCGATAAAAAACCCCTGTCCCTTTTTTTTAGAACATTTCTAAACGAAGCTATTGTGTTCGTGGTGTTGGTGGTTGCTAGCTGGTAGGGCCTGGGCCCGGCCCCCCACGGGCACTGACCTCTCAGCTTCTCGAGCAGCTCGGACACGGGCACGAGGATGGGCACCTTGTGGCGCTCGCCGGCCGCGCGCGCGTTGATGAAGTTGTTGCCCGGCTCGTCGCCGTTGACCTCCACGGT